TTTATTTTTTTTATTATATCTAAGGGGGAGGGGTGATATTACAATTTCAACAGGAAGCGTGCAAGAAATTTATTGAAATGAAAAAAGATTCCCCCACCCCCCATATCACACTATTGACAGATGAGACATTGAAATCTGCCATTTTAGCAATTTAAGGCAAAAAGGAGTGGAATGAAGTGGCATGGGAGATATTACATACATTGCAATTTTTTTAATACCTACTATATAGTTCTTTATTGTTGACTTGTTGTAAAGTGGATTATTAAAATATTTATTAATTTATGCACTAGGTTTTAATATACCTGTAACTACAAATCTGTCTACATTGATGATAATGTATTATACAGTGGAAGAACTTCACAGCTGATACAGTCATTAAGAGTCATTTTGAAATAATGAAACTTTTTGGAATTTCCAAAGCATTACTGTCTACAAAATTTTAGATTTTTGTCAACACAGGAAGAATTAAGGATTTAAAAACATGAAACCTGGCCACAATAATATGAGACAGACATCACTGTGGATGTGGTTTATTTCATGTTAGTATACATGTTACAGTGCTGGGCTCAATGTTACTTGGGTTAAGTAGATATAAATTATTCTAAAAAACAGTAACATAATTCAGGTAATTACTCAGGTAACACAGTAATACTGTTAGAGAGCAAAAATAGCATGGTAACATAATATCACAAAATAGACTTCTGGAAATGAAGCAATAACTTAAAAATAAAATATGAATTCAAATAATATAATGAGATTCATTTTACATTGTCACAATGAGAAATTATAAACAAAGCCTCGTGTGAGGCTGAATATAGCTGCATATCAAATATATGCAATTTCAAGTAAATTGAAATCATATGCATACATATGAAAGAAGAGAGAAAAAGAGAAAAAAATCATTACTAAACACACTATCTGCATATAATAATTTCATACAGTTTAGTGTGCATGGTTCTATGCATGCATTTACCCAAGGTTATATATGTATATATATATATATATCTACCTATATACTACATGTATATATACACCTATTTAAACATGTATATGTATGTGCATATATACAAAAAACAAGTGTTAAAAAATATATAAAATATAAAAAAAAAAAAAGCCATTCTGAATCATCAGTTCCCCTTAAGTTCAAATGCTTTCTTATCCTCTTTTCCTCTTTTCTAATTAAGTAAATAAAAAATATATTAACATAAAAACTAAACCCATAGTCGTACACAGTGGAGAATACAAGGGTCGGTGGGAAATGTTGCTCGTTACAAGCCAACTGTGAACAAATCTTCACTCGGTAAAGACTATTAAATCACACAGTACTGAAATGAACGTCTTTGAACAGGAGTTAATTACCAAGATTAGGAACTGCTAGTCTCCTCCTGACTTTATTCACATTTCCTGTCATTTCATATTTTGAGAAAATATAATGAAAATATACCTAAAATAATGAGATTCCTCATGACTTAAAAAATAAATCTCTCCAGATATAATACTGCAGTGCTTGCATATCACAAACCACTAATTACTTTGGCTCCCTAGACCTTTGGCAAACATACAAACCAAATAAATTTTGTGCAAAAGCAATCAACAAATTTTGTTAACAATAAAAAAAAAAAAAATAATAAATAAAAAAAGCATGATTCTCTTAATGCAATTTTCCATTCCTCAGTATTCTTGTCGTCACACACTCGAAGTCCTGCATTCCACTCCGCATGGCCAAGACGTCGCGATCAAACTTCTGCGACGGAGAGTGAAACTGCGTCCACTGGTTGGGACTCACAAGGGGCGCTCTGTTGGCCTGGGGCGTGATGGCTCGGGGAAGATTCTCATTTCCTTGGGCATTCCTGCGGGGTAAGAGATTATGAGGCTGTGACCAAAATCCATTGGTTTAAGAGTAAATAATAACAGTCAGAATTCTCAAGGTAATACTTGGGAATATTGTGTATTTGTTTTTTTCCCTTGCATTACTTCATGTAGACATGAATAATTATAATTATCGATTATGTTGCAAAGGTAGCGTGTTTACAATATATATCACCCCCCCACCCCAGCTATACCTACACAAACACATCTATTTGCGCACACACATACAAACACCCTAGCTACATCCATACTCCCCCCCCCCCCACATACACACACACCAGCTGCCCCCTACATTCACATATCCCCCCCTACCCCACCCCTCCAATGCAGTCACTTATTTTCTAACCAATAAATTAAACCTCAAAACACCCCTAGAATGGGAAAATGTCCACACCCCTTGGGGATCTCTCAATACAGAATAACAGGCCTTTTCCTCCTCTCTCCGTACTCACCAATGCATCCCCATTGAAAGTAGTTGCATTCCAAAGCACCCTTGGCTAATGGGGATTGCTGCTGAAATAATGCTTGTGATTGTCGTATTTCCCCGTGGAAATTACTATTAGATTTAAATTAAAAGAAAGACATAGAAGAAAAGAAATATAAAGAAAGAAAAAAAAGAAAAAAGAAAAATAAGTAAAAAAAAAAAATTTTAATGAAAAAATAATATGAATGAAAATGAATAACCTTATAATCGTTCAATTTAAATGCGTTAATTTATGCTCCTTCTGTTGGAAAGTCCTTCCTTCCCATTTAAACCCAGAGCTGTCCAACCAATTCTGATTAATCCTTCAGAGAGATTTCAGAGCTCTTACATCCTCATCATTGTCGTCATCATTATTGTCATCATCACTATCATCACCATCATTGTCACCACTACCCACTGACCCCCCCCCACCCCCCACCCAAAAGAACTTTCCAAAGCCCGACAGACCTACACCCCCCCCCCCCTCCCAAAAAAAAGGTAGTTCCCCCCTTAGCACCCACCTTCTGGGAGTACCGTTTTGGAGGCGCTTGGGAGCCTTGAAGTAGCTGTGGGGCGTGACGGGCGTGGTCACGTTGAAGGGCGAGTAGAGCTTGCCTGGGGTCTTTCTCGGGGTGCGGTTCGAGCTGTGCTTTGGGGTGTGGGTGGGGGTCTTGGCATCCAGCTTGTACCTGCGGCGCGTTGAGTTGCGGAACATCTGTTGGGGGGGAGGGGGGTGCATAGGAAAGATAAAGATGATGATGTTAATAATAATGATAATACTAATACTAATAAAAAATTTTGATAATGTTAATAATAATAATAAAGATAATATTAATAGTAATGATAATCACAATAACCACAGTAATAATGCAATTATAAAATAATAATAATAATAATAATAATAATAATAATTACAACAATAATATTAATAAAATAGAAAAAAAAGGAAAAAATATGAAAATTACTATTAATATCAATAACAATAACATTAATAATAATTATGAAGTAATAGTGAAGAATATGATGATATTGAGTGGCCTCTGGGCTCTGTCCCCTAAAACCATTCAGCCAAGACACGGCTCGAATCGGTTGCTTCCTTCACCAAACGTTTAAAAAATACATGCCATGTCTATGTCCTTTTATCTATTGATAGCCACCACACACAGATGTCTTGGCAAGTGTGGCGCCATCTGAGCATCGAAGTAAGACTAGTCATGCCTAACTAACTTATTTAGCCTTTATCTTGATTTACAGATTTTTTTTTCTATTCTGTTATTTCTAATAGTATTGTTAATAACACTAAATCATAATATCAAGAATAATTATAACATCGACTTTAACAGCCTCAAGTAAAAATAAAACTTTCCCAATTACTCAAGACATGGAGAAATGTTGGCTGTTCGTTGGCTCCTTGGCGGCTGGGCTTTTTTGGAGCCATCTGCGCGCTAACTGAATTGGCAGAGGAAAGCAACAGGGGTCAGTGCGATTGCCCGGCACCAATGGGTTAACGGTAAATCGCCAGCGAGGTCTATGAAGTGTGTGTTGCTGGAATCGTTGAAGAGGTGTTGCAGTCACCTCTTTGAAATCTAATGAAGCTGTTCGTTTCTTTAGCAGCTAACTTTTCCTCTTCCTCTTTTATGGCATTATTGTTTATCTTTATATTATCATTCTGCAGTTACTAATATCAGTTTTAATATTATTTTTATATTATTCATGGAAATATAAATATAAAAGAATATTCTTTTTATTATAGAATAATTTTTTTGCATAGAAAATATTTGTTTTCTTAAAAGATATTTATGAAATAATAATTTTCATAGAACAATATGAAAAGTATTCTAATAGAAGGATCTGCAACAATATCTTTATAGAAAAGTAAAATATAAATATATATCTTTTCAAGATTATAGATTGTATCTTTTATGATATGAAATATTTTTCATAAAAGATATGAAACCCTTTCTTCAGAGAGGTAGAACGACAGCACCCATGAAAAATTATTTAAAAATCCAACCAACATTTCCCAAGAAAGACGCGATCCCATGGAGGTGTCCCCTACCTGCGTGAATGATGACAGTGAAGTCCTGACTCCCTGGAGAGCGCGGTTCACCTTCTTCCCTCCCTCCTGGATCATTCTGTTGGCTCGGGGTCGCACTTGGTTCACAATATCCGTCGAGAGAGGAAGCACCCCCGAGGGAAGGTTGGAGAGTGGCTGACGGCAGCGGAAATTGGAGGTGCTGGTGGTTGTGGCGGAGGGCTGTCCATTGGGCTGCTGTGTGCTCTGGTTACCACTGCAATTTTGTCTGCTGCCGTGACTGGTCTGAGAGTGAGCTTGGGGTTCCTCGGCATGTTTGGACAATGACGTGAATCTGTGGAAGGGAGAGGATAATTGCCATCACTTGCAATACTTCAATTCTGGTATTGCTTCAGAAAGGAGCATTAATAAAATCATTATGGTTATTTTTTTTCTACCAGTGTTTGAGTAAGCAAAAACAATTTATTTCCCTTATAAGGCACTGTTCCTTATTTTAGTATTTTTCACCATGAGTCTTCTACCAAAGAGTAAAATGCACGTTGATATCCATATTAGCTTGAATTAGGCGGGAAGTAAATGCCTGGAAAACACCAGCACATCCAACACTTGCCCTAATGCTTCTGACATAGCCTCAATGCCTATTAGTGCTCCAGTAACAGCCCATAAGCCACAGGGGCAGGGTATGGGGCATGGACCTTTGAAGCTCGAGAAAAATTTCTACTGTTGGCGGACATTACCTTCCCTACAGTGCCCGGGGGAGGGTGGGGGAAGGGGGTAACCTGTGACAACCTTTCTGCTTAACGGAATTAGACTGATATCTGAACCTTGTGGGTGAAGGAGGATGCTTGACCAAATATGCTCATTCAGTCACTCATTAATGACCCTTCAATTATTTGATTTGCCGAGACTGAGGAGGCAGAACTCCCCATAAAATTTCTTTGTCAAATAAGGAACCAGTCCAAGCACTATCTTGCCAGAATAAACAAGACAGATTTTTTTTTTTACAGTTATGAGTGCATAGCAATTCTTTGACATTTGCAATACAATAAGGTTGGATTTGCAATTGAAGACCTTCAGAATTTCATGTGGATTTGGAATGCAGACTATAAAATGATAGAATATTTCTGGTTTTGAAGTTACAGTCTTAATAATATTTCTTTTTATACAAGGAAAAAAAATATACATATATATATATTCCCCGACACTTCAGCAGTTTACAAGCTAAATATAAATCTAATTTCCATTTCTTATTATTGCTCCATCAAACTATTTAGATTTTCTCTCAGCATTCACCAGCAGTTTTCTTTTGCACAATTTACCAACTCTTTTTTATCTAACCTAACTAGAAACATCATTACAGCAAGCCTTTATAAACACTTTAAAAATAGCGATGTTTGATATTGCCTTAAAATCTCCCAAAACCTTAAAATTTAGAACCACCAAGCAAAATATCAGCAACAGAGTCCTAACCTCAATATACCTAAAATAAAAAAGGTAATTCTTAGCTATATGGACGCACTCCCCAGAGACCAATTCCCCGACTCCACGCCACAAACTTTATTCTACAATCTGAAATAAAGTGTAATTTCACGAGGCGAGGCTTCATGGGGGCGTCTCCCCCACCCAACTCCCTTGGGAAACGTGGTCTTCCCCTCGGAAAGCTCGGCAAGATTGAGGTGAAGCTCGGCTGTGGACCTGGGCTGTGGGCGGCTATGTTCTTATTTTGTGGCTTAAGTGTTCACGTCTGCAGATTATTTCTTGTTCTGAGGACTACGCCATTTTGTCTTCTACAGGAATACTTTCACTTTGTCCTTGCTTAGTGCATCCATACATTAAGATTTAAACATAAACTTAGATTAATAGATCTAATATTACCAAACCTGACCTATGGCATATTAGAAAGATAAATGAAACAGTCGAATAAAGGGATACAAATGAAAAGTCTCACAATTAACAAGATAATGAAACAGTCCTACAAAATCCCAATCCCTTTCAATAATAATATAATGAATGAAAATGAAAGTAGTAACACAAAATAAGATGATGTCACAGCCCCACGAAATACCAATACCTTTTAATAATAACTAACCCTAATACAACATCAACAAAAAATAAAACAATAAAACCATAAAAAGAGAAAATGTTAATAAAACCGACCGAAGGAGTCCATCCTCAGGTAACAATATAAAACAAAAACCCAAATAATAAAAGCCAAAATGAGAGACTCACCCTCCACGTGCAGTTGGCAGAGGAGGCAGCGGCCGGTTCCTCATGGACGCCATTTTCTCGTCCCTTTTAAACCGCTGCTGCAGATTCACCCGAAAGTGCGGCTCCTGAGGCTGGAAATCCTCGTGGAGATAATTCTTGTTGGTCTCCTCCTGCTTTCCTCTGAAGAAAGACCAACTGCGACTCAGTTTGGCTGCCATGGCGACGGTGTGGTTTTGTTTGACTGAGGATTAGGAAAACGGAAGGAGGTTTAAATGGGGCGTTGCTATTTAAGCCTTTGACTCCGACGGGGGTTTAAACGAGGCCGATTTTGGTGGTACGAATTTTCAAACTGAGCGGCCATAACGGTTTTCGCCCGGGGGAGTGTTGATGCTTAAGGGGGGGAGGGGGTTGGGGGTTGGGTATTTCTCACTATTTGGGTATTTTTTAGGGTCATGTTTCTCTCTAATCTTTATTGTCTCTTTGGTATTTTAGATTAGATGTTGTTTAATTAGAGGTAGCTGTATGTTTTAAAGGGTTATATTATCGGGAGATGAGGAGAATATAAGAAAATACATGGATGAAGAGGAAGGATAAACATGGCAACTCATCGCAAAGGGGCGGAGCTTAAACAGTTGTAGAATAAGGAATTTCGTTTCAATTTGTTTTTCAATAACGCCTACTAGATTTGATAGCGTATTGTCTTTCTTATATCCCAATTATTATACGACTTATTGTGCAAATACGCATTGAAATATACGAAGCTTTCTTAGTGATGATATTAATATCCAATAAATCACCAGGGGAAAGTGGCAACCGCTCGGCTAATAACAGCAGCATTCCAGTTCATAAAATTTAACCATTATTACAAAACATCTCAACCACTCTTCCATTAAGATAGATATCAAAGACAATGGAGTCAATTGTA